AGGATACAATTGGCTTAGGTTGATGGCAATAGCTATAAGAAATTATGCCAACATAACTGAAATTACTCAACAAAGCAAAATCTTCTTAATTTTATGAATAGAATTACTGAAAAAATGTAAGCTTTTGTAAAGTTATTTCAACTCACGTTAAACCACCAGCGAACTGGAAATGTTTTGGGAACAAAAATTATATTTCCCTTATTTTTAGCAAATATCATCCCATTGGTCAGTCTCACCCCGGTTAACAGCAGTTTATCTCCCTAAACTCCAAAAAATATAATATAATAGTAGTCAATTAACCCGAAAAGTTTTAAGCCTAGGTATTAAAAATACTGAATCTGAGCTATCCTGATTGTATTTGCTATTGCTGGGAGAAGATACAAGAACTAGTAAATTAATTACAAAAATGTTGAAAAATAAAGATAAAGAAATTAGATTGAAATATGGTAAAGCAGATAATTATTAACACTCTAATCTTTAATTGAAATAATGAGTTTTCAAGTAAATATTCAGTTTCAAAAAGACAAAATTTCATAAGAATCATATAAATCAGCTGTATTAAAAGATTTTGAAACTGTAGACATATAAAAATGTTATTAAATAGTAATTGAGAATATGGGTTTGGACAAGGTCAATAAAACTACCAGGTTCGCTCACTCAGAGAGAAAATGGTGGGGAGGAATTGAGCTCTGACGTAGCCAAAAGACTGATTTTACCCCTCCGGCCTTTGTTTCTGGACATTTTAAGATTATTATTTACTTTTATAAATTAAATCAATACTGTATATCAATAAGTATTGCCAAATAACTTATTAATTTATTAATTTTAATAAATTTGAAAGGTGAGACAAAGGTTGATTTGATATTTGGTTTATTCTGAAGCGAATAAAATGTAATTTAACAAGTTGATGTATGATTTTTTGCAAAGTACCACAATACTACTTTTTAAATATTTCAAATAAATACAGAATATTGAAAAAAAAAAAAAGAAAAAGTATTTAATCTAACATTAAAAAAGAGTTTTCTTTCCGTGAATTTTTGAAAATATTACGTTATTATGTCATAAGTAATCCTATGAAGTGATTTTTCTCAAGTTTTTTGGCTTTGATTCTATGTTTTCTTAATTGTTGTAAAAATCATTGGGTATTTAAAAATTTGTTTCTATTAAATACACGTTGCTGAAAGGAAGGCTTTCTTCATTAATTTCTACATTTTGTTTCCTAAGAAAAATGTAACCACGCATTTCTGAGTGAGCGAACCTGGAAGTTTTATTGACCTTGGGTTTGGATGTCAATAACTAATAGTACACTATTTCTTACACCTTATATTGAAAAATATATTCCAGAGACATTTTTAGTATAAAATGTTTTATTCATATTAAATTAGAGTCATTCTGAAAGAATTAAAAGAAATTTTAATCGGATTCAACTATTTTAAAATATATATATATCCTTAAGGATGTTATAACTGTCTCCTTTATGCCATATAATCATTAGTAGAAACAATAATGGTTTCGATAAACTTATAAAGGAGAATAATTTTAAATAAATAGAAAAGATAAAGTATCTGGAATCTACAATATGTAAAAGAAAAAAAAATTCAAAACAAAATAAAAGCAAGGTTAAATTTTTAAGCTGTTTATCGCTTCTTTTGGCATTAATACTCTCTCTATAGAAATTATCTAAAGGCATCAATAAGAAATAATAAGGCTTATACTTCCTGCTGTTCTTTAGAAATTCAGACCACTTATATTGAAGAAAGAACAACTACTTAAGCGTTTCGAAAATAAAGATTTGTGTACAATATTTGTCCAAACGATCCTTAAATATTAAATAAAAAAAAAACTTTGAGATGAGTTAAACAGGTGTGTAAAGCTCCTGGATTGTATAAAGAATGATTCACTATTTTCCAAATCAGTAAAGTTTTTGTTTATTTTTTTGTTTATTTAATGGAATTTACAACTGTATACAAATACAACTAGTAAATATGCGCAAATATAAATAATGGCATGTACAGGCCAGTAAAGTTTGAGTGGTAGAAGGGTATATGAGATGGTAGATTCTACCAGAAGATTGTGATGGCCGAGTGAGTTAAAGGGTAAACTTAAACACACTTGAGTCTTGCAACTCCGGTTCAAATCCGGGCCAAGATAGGTTGAAATTTATTTTATGGCAGACCCATGGAATGAATCTTGACCTTCCCACTCTTGTTAGAATCGATTTGGTTGTACTACTAGAACAACCTTCCTTCCCCCCCTCCTCTTATGCCAGAAATGGTGAGGTAAGAGGTAATCAAAAGAAAGAAAAGTGGAAAAATCTGTCTGTTGACATGGACTCTCTGATTTACTTTTAACCTTATTATTATCCTTACACTCGATAAAATTTATTTTGTTCACAGGAGTCCTAGAAGAACTAGAAATCCTGAAACAAATAGAATCGATGCTAGGAGGTGATGACAGCCAATATCCTAATCATGAGACAGAAGAAGAAACCAAAGCATTTGTAATAGAAATAAACAGGAATCAAGAATTATGACAGAAAAATAAATATTGTTTAGTTTAGAGATTTTTTACTTTGTTTTTCTTTTTTAAATTACCAATATTTAATAAATGAATAAATGATATTTTGACTGTTTAAACAATTCAATATATATAAGAAAATAAATATGTTGATAAGTATACTTCTGATTTGATCAATTTATAATTATTTATAATATTATAATTATAATTATAGTATGTATAATCTTTTTTTATTCATTTATCATTATTTTTATTGCTATTTTGGATATAATTATGCATAGTAATCAAATTCACTAAACTTGAACCATTTAACTTTATATTTTTTTCTAGAAAACAGTTATCTAATAATTAGTAATGAATAAATAGATAACCATAATATAAATAGTTAATAAATTTAAACTGATTTAAATGGTAATTGAATTTCATCTGGCTGTACCAGATGAAATAACAATTATCAGTCTAACATTAATTAAAAAATAATTTATCTAACCTCATTTTATTAGTTAATCAAAATATACTTTGTAGATCCTATAATATTCTTCCAGTAATTCAATTCTTAATAAAATTTTCATGAAATCGTGGAGGAAATTAATTCTAAGAGGGTTTTGTGCTTAGTTATAAACATTAAGCTAAATAAAAGGTCGTCGATGGCTTTGAAAATAGATAATATGTCATTAACTGAACTCTTGAAAATTGAATAATGAAAAACTTCTGGATAATTGAAAAACTTCAATTTTACTCAGAGGTTTGAAATGGTCAGTCTCTAAATGGATAATTATTAAAAATACAAACTTTCCCTATACTTCTTAATTAAACTTTTATTCCCGTTGCTAGTCTATAACTAATTATCTAACTAATATATTTTTATAGTATTCATTTATATTTGTTTAATGTCAATCTCAGAGGCTGCAATTAATGTGATAAAACCAGATTATTCACGAGCTAACTTTTGAATAAACAATATTTGATCATTTTTTAAATTCTTTAGGATATTACAGCTAGGGCCATAATGGCCTAGTGTGTTCAAGACTAACCTTAGGAGCCTCAAGAAACAAGCGGTAGAATCTGTCTTAAACAGAACCCACAGAATGACTCTTGGTCTCACTGGCCAAGATAGGTGGGTCATCTTTAAGAAATATATGGATATTAAATCCAAATAAACAAACAAAGAATCATTACAACTAGGGATTTATTTATTTTTTTAAATTGCTATATTGTTTTGTTTTTTCTCTTTTAATAATGACACTAAATTACAGCATGTAAATTATATTTCTGAAATAAAAAATACTAAAATAAAAATTAAGAAAATATTATTCATTTTTATATAACACTGGCTTATATAAATATAAGACTCAGTGAAAGATTTTTTTAAAAATCATGGTTTATTTCTAATTATTCCAATAGACTTTTTTCAATTGTAAATCACCTTAAATCATTAATCTTATATATTTTCTATGTATGTATAATAAATGTAGGATAAGAGGAAAAACAGGTAAGTCACTTTTATGTTTTTTAATGAGTTAATTTTTACTATAATCAGACTGGAAAGCTATAATCTTTCAGGAAACTATAATGCAAAAAAGAAAAGAAAAAAGAGATAATATAAATATATTACATTCTAACTCCTTGCAATAATCCAGCTTTTCATTACCATTCAATTGGTACCAATATTTGATGGAATGAAAGTTACAACCTGGTTCTTTATCCTGATCCTTTATATTTTAACATTAACTTATTCAATGAATATTTTCTAAATTAAATATTATAACATTTCAATAAACTTTATTTATTAAAATACCAACTCAGTGACCTATTATTTTTTTATTCCTTTATGATAGACACAATTATATTTTTTTTAATTCTACATATTGATCCTAGATTACTTATGTGTTTTACTTTTAAAAATAATTTAGAAAAATTACACATTACATATTTTATTTTAGTGATGATATGGAAAAACTTGAAATTTGTGTAATTGGAGGTTTAAAAAATTAATAAAGTTAAGAATATTTGTATATTTCATTTGTAATATGTTTTTAAAATAATAAACAGAATTAAATATCTTTTGATTTAATATTGCATAATAATAAATAAATAAAGTAATAGATTAAATTTTTAAATAGAAAATTTTACTTCATAAAAGAAAGGAAAATTCAATATATCCTTGAAATTTAATCAATATTGTTCATGTAAGTTATGTTTTGCTAACATTGATAAAATCTGCTTTTATTGATCACTGCAGATTCAAAATAGTGAAGAGAAAAAATCCATACCCATATAACCTCAAAAGGAACCAAAAATTAACCTTCCTTCTGTTTATTCAAGGGATAACTCAGTGTAAATATTTTGTACATGTATATAGATGAGCAGCATTGATATCAACTTTTTATTCCCCCTCCCTAAGAGTCACTTCATTTAAATATTTTAATTTACAAGCTGATAAGGAGACCATTTGTAGTCAAGTAGTATGACTGTGAAAGATCATGGCTGGGAGACTAAATGTTATTTTTTTAAGCTCATTGCGAATTATGAGAGGGTCCACCTCTTGGAGCCCATTCCATTTTAAGAACATCAAACTCCCTCAGGTCTATCATTCTCGTTCTCTTAAAAAAACTAAAATGGTTGACTCAGGGGAGGATTCATTCTGTGATCCTTCTACTTTCGATTGTCTTGAAAATAAATCATTTAGCCCAGATGAATATTTTGAAGTTCCTCCCCTTTTAAGAAGACAAAGTACAATTGAAGATGAACAAAGATTAGTACTGTTATTGAAGAAAATATTGGCATATCAGGACAAGAATGTCACAAGTTGGATTGTTGAGGTAAGACACAATTTTTTCATAATTTTTTAATAGCTTTGTTGTTTTTATTAATAATTCATTTGTATCAATGTTTCAGAATTATGTTAAAGACTTAGTATGTACTTACAAACTTTTGACAAAGCCTCAAAAGGAGACTTTTCTGAAAATTTTGGCAATTGATTATTCTGTGGATCATGAGCGTATTCACAAAGCAACAAATCAATTTGTAAGTAATAATATTTAACAATGCATATTTATATAAGAGCTACTCTTAAGGAATAGGTTTATAGAATATGAATGATTTGATTTATTGGACTAATATATTTGCATAAAAAAAAATAGTAACTGGAATTTTTTGTAAAACCTATAATTTTTTTCAGAAAGACTTCGAGCCAGGAACTGCTATCTCACTCAAAGCTGAAGAACAATTGAAAAGTGTGTTAAACCCACAGTATTCATGGTTATTTAAGCATATTGGGCGTTTAGAAAATGGAGTGAAATTCTTAGTGGACATGAGGACAGATGTTTTGGCATGTATTTAACCCTTTAGAAATGAGTAAAGTTCACATTTGATTAGTCACTATGATTTGAATTATTTTAGGTTTGATAATGAATATTCTCAAGGTAATTTCTTTGCTCCTTAAGCAATTTAATTTGCAATATCTTATATAGATATGTTACCGATCATTTTATTCAAATTTAAACAGCCGACATTAAGTTTTACCATTCACTAAACATATCTTCATTATATTTCTTCAACTTTACAGTATAGAGCAGTTATAAAAAATGCATCTAATATAAAAACAGGAGACTATACTAGATCAGGTGGAAGCATTAACTGCTCTATAATGTAAGAGAAATTAAAAAAAAAAATTCAAAGTAGTTGTTTCCATTTGGACACTGTGGTCTGCAAAGGGTTAAATAAAACAAATGACCCTGGATTTAAAGTTTAAATTTTATTATATTTTTGCTGATATATGATAATATATTGTATACAATTTGAAAACAACAAAACTATATTTTAATTCAATGCTTATAGGTTTTGGAGGAACATGTTAGATACATTAGTTAATTGTTTTTTTTTCTAGCTTTTTTACTGAAGTTATTCAATACAGACTAAAATTTAGTCTTTGTTAGTAAAAAAGTATCACCATTTCCCAAAATGTAGTCTTTACGTTTGCTTTTATGTATCCTTCAATTAAATCCATTGATTGGTTAGTGTGATGCATAAGCCTAAGTGCATTACTATTATTGAAGAATAAAATTCAGAACTTGCCACCATTTATTTATAAAAAGGTTACTTTGAAAGGTTATTTCCACTAAAATTCATTAATTTTTAGGTTTATATGATATTTGAAATATTTTTTTTAGTTATGTATCACTTCTTTGTGAATTAAATATAATAGTAAGATTAAATTTATATTAATATATATGATGCAATTAAATATATTAAATGCACTTATTATTAAACCTTAGAACTAAATTCTATTAATGTTAAAACCACTTTAGTAGATCTAAAATTCTACATCACTGGTTTTAAAGATATTTAAAGATATATTTAAGTTTTTCTCCAAAAAACAACTCAAATTGAAATTTTATTTTTTATCATATCTTGTTATCTTTTATAGCAGTTTTTGGCAATAATACCTCAACATAACGATGTGTGGTGTCATTGCTTCCATTTTCTTTAATTAACTTTATTTGTTTTAAGGATGAAAAATAGTTGCACTACTATTTATATATTTATGGATATTGTATCACTTGCTCAGTTCTTGTCTTGTCTACAAACCATTACCTTGATGATGACCCACATTCTTTGGTGGGTTTGTCAGCAAACTTAATAAATAGTATTTCCTGATTTTTTTTTTTTTCTGTCCACCCTCTCCTCGCTTATTAGGCTTACAGGGTTTTTCCCAGGCCTAAGGGGAGAGTGGGAGATTAATGCCACAGTTAAAAGCCACCCAGCTCTCCTCCCCTCCCCCCCACCAACATCTGGACACATAATTATTTTATCATCTCTAGTATTTGGTTTATCAGGTTGCCAGGCATCACTTGTTTTGTACATGTGTTAGCCAGCTTGTCAACCCATCGCATTTTGTGATTATTTTTCATCCTTATTAACCTTTCAGCGGGAACATCTTTATTTGTGCTTGGAGTAGCTTTTTGGTAGTGGTTAATGTTTATTTTTTCTGTTGCTCAAATTCTAAATTCACTACTTTGTACATTGGTATGTATTTATACATTTTCTGATAGTATTTATTTATATTTTTCTTCTTCTTTTGCCACCTCCTTTTCATATCCACCATAGTGCTACCTCTGGCTCACCGAGTCTCTCCTTACAGTCACAATTCAACAGTCTGGGCCTGCCTCAAGGTCACCTTCCCTCTGGTTATGCTTCTAGGAACCTTTTGCCTTTCGGTTATCACCCATCCGGTACACATGGCTGAATTACTTCAGTTGGCACTCCTCTATTACTTGTTGTACAGGCCTTATATTCAGTTCTCCTCCATCGGTCTCTTCGTGTTTTTCTAAGAACTCTCCTGAGGTTCTATATATGTTGGATTATTGCAACTTTTTTTGTTGTTGTTTTTAACTTAATGATAAAAGATGATCTTTGAAAAGAGACTATTATTCGTGTTAGTAGAAAAAGGCCTTATTAGACGTGATAAATAATAACTTTAATCAAATTTATCCAAATTTTCGCCTCTTCAGGGATAATCTGATTCTATTTGTTATATGATAGCAAAACAAACATGTTTAAATTTTTTATATTCAATACAAACTAGGACATATTAAATAATAGAAAAAAAAATTATGTACTTAAATTTAATCATTTACAGCTGATGATAAAAAAAATTTAAGTTTAGTGATAGCATAAAACAGAAGTTTGATTACATAACAAGACAAGTTTACAATAAAAAGCAATTTGAAATATTAAAAACAACTAATTCATAACTTATTCAAATTAATTGTAATCAGATTCGTTTTGCCGATGGCATGAAATGCACACAGGCTCAATTACTTGATGGGCTTTGCAATTGTATTTTTTACACTTGGAACATGTTTTCATTACATTTATGTTCTTTTTCCTTTCACACACATGACATTTCAAAGGCATCAATTCCACCTCATACACCAAAAATATCCAAGAAAAATTAAAAGTATAACACGAGTGGACATGCAGTACACAGAGTGTACCATAGCAATTTTTCAAGCAGTTTGAAATAGTACTGGGGTTGTAAAGGTCAGGGATAGGTAAGAAGGTAGCAGAAGGACAATAAGAGTTAGATAAACAAATACCTGTGATCGCCATGAAATCCGAGCACTTTGAGAGATTTGAGAGCCTAAAAACCGAGGCTGGCACATTCTGTGCACCAGCATGCCCACTGGAAGGTTAAAGAATACACAATTATATCAGATATTGTACCACTCTTTCAGTTCTTGTCTTGTCTGCAGAGCATTGTCCTGATGATGACCTACATGCTTGGTTCAAAACCTCAGCAAACTTAATAAACACCATTAATGACTGCAATTTCTGATTATGTTTCATCCTTATAATTTCAACAGTCAACTATACCTCCATCTCTAAATTATATTAGTTTTAAGTGACTTTAATACTCCTATTACTATTGCTCCTTCCTGGAGTTCTTATGTTGTAGTGGGCTGACTCCATTATTGTCTTTTATCTATAACCAAAATGTTTCAACTGCAGGAAGTTCTTTTCGTTCAGTAAGTGAGGAAAAATCTTCTTAATCTAGACATAGATCTCTATATTTCATATTAGTATGGCCTCCAATGTTCCAAGTGTGGTACAGATCATTACCACTTATGTTCAGTTTCCAGAGCACTATTCATGGGGCAGAAAACAACTGTGACCTTGCCAAAGCCATGCCCCAGAGGGATTTTGTTACTTAATTGTCTGGAAGTACTTGCTTTGCTTGTAAACTTGATTTTACTGTGGGAAAGTAATTTATTTTCCATTATCTTGTGGTCCAAATAACTCGCAGAGAATGTACTTTGCCCTAATCGCCAACATATTCTTATTTTTATGAATCAGATTTCAAGTATCATTAGTGTAATTAACAAAATAAATCCAATGAATGCAAACCCCACTCCTATCCCAATTGTTAAACAAGCTATCCTTAATATTGAAGGAGTCATTAGCTATGTGAAAAATTTGAAACTATATGAATACTACTTTTGCATTAATAACAATTTCTCTTACTCTTATGAATACTGAATAAAAATAGTTAGATTCTTGAATTTTTATTGCAATAAAGAAAAAGCAGATTTATTGTTTAACCTGTGTTGGGGGATTCAAATCTCTACAACTTGTACAATTAGTTATGTTATCATTCTACCATAAATTCAGGAATATTGTTGCCAGGTCTTACTTATTTCTTATTACTATATTCAGATTTAGATTTATTTAAAAAAAGTTTTTGAGATGAATATCAATATTTTAAACCTTTTTCATTTTTTTGCAAAAAATTCAGATTAGCATCCTTTTTTTTATTTCTTGAAATACTCATGAAAGTGCAGGATCAGTGCTTACAAGGATTGCAAAACAAGTGCATTTCATAGTTCACAGTTTCAATCCAATAGATATTTCTAGTTCTCAAGAGATATCCAGTTCAGCCTTAAACTCAGTTACATCCTAGATCATTTGTAATAATCTGCTATATTTTATAAGAAGACGCTGATGTATTTAAATTTTTACACATGTGCATTTGAAAAACAGTATAGTATGTCCAATGTGGCTATTAACTAAAGACCTCATTTAAATCTATTTATAAGTTTTCTTCAACACATTGATCTGTTGGGGTAGTTGCGTAAACGGTGCTGAAATTACTGCCCTATATGCTTGGGCCGCAGCATGTACGCCTCATGTTATTTCAACTTTAAAGAACCCTTTTTACCCAAAACAAAATATATATAAAAAGTAAACAAACCTCATATTAAAAAGTATAAAAATGAATTAATAACAAAAAAGTAAAGAAAAATCAGTGGAAAACAAAGCCTGTTCATTTGACATAATTAGGTGGCAGTCAAGTTATTAACCATACTTCTGTAGTTGATAAAGTAATGTTGTTAAAGAAAACTTTAAATAATCAATTATGTATTGGAAATGCCATGATAATTTTTGTCAAACAGCACGAGATCTGTTTTCATAATTCAGTTTCATATTTCTCTCTCAGGGTTCCTAACTAAATCCCTTTTAGCTCTTTATGAATCCTGGTTTCAAAATAGAGAGAATGGAAATAATAATTATTATAGTTTATAAAGAAAGCATTACCTTATTTTACTGGACCACTGAAATCAGCAACTTTCCAATGAAATAAAGTTCAAGTGAATCACCTAAACGAAAAAACAGAAATAAAGAAACTTGTATAATATACCATTAGTATATTTAAAATAATTCAATAGAGTAAGAAAAATAAAGTTTAAAGTTGTAAATAATAATAATAATAAAAATAATTTGCTGTTACCTTCAAAAATGTTCTTCTTTTTTCGGATGTTTCTGAATCAGTAGACATTTCTTAATAGTATGTAACATTAAAATGATGAGAGAGAATTGATATTCATTCGATCAGATATCCAACCTGGAAAACAAAATACGAAGGAATCAGCTTTGTTGAATAAACGTCAAGGACAACATGGCTGGCTACGAGGCATTTCAGATTATTTTGAAATAAGATATAAATATTTACATCAACAACTCCATCGTCTTAAACATAAATATTACTCTCATAGGAAAATATGGAGAAAAAAAAATTAGGATTAATTTCAATAATAGGGTCAATTGAAATCAGATTAGTACTAGTGCTGTCTATATATTAAGAATTAATTGTATTTGTTGAATGGATTCCATTGCTGACAGTCAATTTTGTTTTCATATGATGATGTTCCATAGTTTTGCTTATTTCTGATAATAGTAAATATAAAATATAGTAATAGGTAAATTAAAAATATTACCCAAAGATTATATAAAGGTTTTTGATATTTTCAACTAAATTAATGATATTATATTTATGATTTTATATATTTTAATTTGATTAGAAAACATTTTCTTTTTGAATAGTTTTATTTATTTTAAATATGTTTTATGACTTATCACAATTTTTTTTCTACGAAGCTTGACATGCACCATAAATAACAATTTAAGTGTCTATGAGTTGATAAATTTCTGAATTTGTTTTTTCTTTTCTGGACTGATATAGATACGTTCATAAGTGAAGAAAAGGGCCTTTATCTCTTTTTTTCAATCTATTAACATTTTTTAGCACAACATATTGTGTCATTTAAAAGTATCAAATATACCAAGAATTTAAATAAATATGATTTTTTTTTTAATTTTGAAAAAATAAACTTATGAAATAGTTAAGCAACTTTTTCATTATCTGTTGTTTCAAAAAAATGAGGAAGTATTTTGAAGAATTATTATTATTTTATCTCTCTCTTCTCAATAAATACTTTTTAATATTAATTTATTATAATTCCTTAAATGAAGCATAAATAATTATTGAAATATTAGCATGTTTTTGATGGTTCATCAAAATCAGTTCAACATTGAACTTAGTATTATTTTTATTTTACTTTATTGCTACAATACCTGTATAGTTTAAACAAATTTTTAAAAATGTTTCTACCTTACTGATAGATACTTTAAAGTAAATCACAATAACGCCTATTCATCCCTTTTTTCCCAGTCCGCTGGTGTTCCTCAAGGTAGTATCCTAGGTCCTATCCTCTATACAGTTTATACAGCTGACATCCCAACCCATCCCAACACTGTCATCACCACATATGCCGATGACACATGTATCCTATCAGTAAACAATGACCCAGCAATTGCATCCCAAATGCTTCAATCACACATCATAAATCTAGAAGAATGGTGTCAAAACTGGAGAATTAAAATAAACTCCAATAAATCCCACCAAATTACCTTTACCCTTTGTCGTAAACCAACGACTTCCTGTCCTACAGTTTCCTTTAACAATACTCCACTTATCCCTGTTGAGCAAATCCGATACCTAGGACTCCACCTGGACAAACGACTAACTTGGAATCCTCATACTAGACTGAAACGACAAGAAACTGCTCGACGTTTCCGATTACTTCAGCACTTACTAGACAAACGCTCTAAACTTCCCATTAATTACAAAAGACTCATATACTTGACTATAATAAGACCTATTTGGACTTACGGAGTTGAGCTATGGGGCTCCACTAAACCATCGAATTCCTCTCGCATCCAATCCTTACAATCCAAAATCCTTCGTAAAATCCTCAATGCTCCTTACTTTGTCACTAATAAAATTATCCATAAAGATCTTAATGTTCCTTATGTTTCAGATCTGGCCCAATCCAGATACCTATCCTTCCATAATAAACTTCAGAATCATCCCAACCCTCTCGTTTCTAACCTTGCTTCCTCTTCAATTCCTGATAACCCTCCGAGGCGTCTGAAAAGAAGATGGCCCCGTGATCTCCTAATGTAGTCATATCATTAGAGTGCTACCATTGGGTAGTTACTCAGCAAGTGTATTCATGTCATTATATCAATTATGTCCAAATTTACTTGATGTATTTATGTAATACAGTTGTAAATGTCATAAAGAAATAAAAAAAAAAAAAAAATGTTTCTATTAATTTAATGTACTGAATATTTTTAATGAGCTTAAAATGTCATTATTTATAATTGTTTTCTATTTTAGGACCTATTATCTTCATTAGATGCCAAATCAGAGGCCCTCATACCAATCAAGCAATTAAACACTACTCTGAGGGAGCTCCTTTCCCTGTGGTTCTCTGTAGGATTTTTGAAACTGGAAAGAGTTACTTGGAAATCACCATGTGAAATGTTGCAGAAGGTAAGTAACTACTAATGTCATTTAGTAATACTTATTTATATATGATTCATGGTTAGTTACCTTTATTTGCATTTCTTTCCATTCTTCCTATGTGATCCAAAATTATTTTTGTTCATTTTTACTAGAAAAAAAATTCTTTGATTATATATTAATTATGTTAATTTACTTATTAAATTTTATTTATTAATTACCATTAACTTTTAAACTTTATGATAGTACAGTAAATATTAATCCAACCCAAAACTGTTTGATAAATTTGAATTATGGCTAATATGATCCTGAAAAATTAAGTATTGATGCCCTTGAATCAGCTCGTAACCAACACTTCAGAAATCCCTTTATAGACTAACTCTCATTTATGCCTGTAGATATCTGAGTACGAGGCAGTGCACCCTGTGAGAAGCTGGGCCGACTTAAAAAGGAGAGTCGGGGCTTATAGGCGCTGCTACGTCTACACTCATAGTAGCATGCCCACGGAGCCTATCGTTGTGCTACACACTGCACTCTCCAATGAGATATCATCTAGTATGAAAGGCATTGTCACTGCAGCCCATCGCATGTCAAGTTAGCATGCCCAGATACTTTTCAATATTGTCTCTTTCGATTGTGGCCAAAATATCGGTCTATGATAGCTATATATTAAAAGTTATTCTTATGGAACTTCAATTTTCTGCTTTTGCCTTTATCATATAAAATATATACTTTTGCCGAAACATTTGAATGGTTTTCTGGATTAGTTTGCAGTTCTTTGACTTAAAGTTTTACCACTTCACTTGGGTCAACTGGCCAGTATTTTGACCTTTTCTTTTGAAAACTTTTGTTAGAAGTTAATGGTTTTGTATTAAAGACTAATTGGAATAAAGTTTATAATTTTTTTTTTAGATATTTTTCCTAATAAAAGATGTTCATTAGAATTTGTTTGACTGTTGTTACATTATTAATAATAAACGTGAAAAAAATAAGAAAATCTTTTTATTTGAGAATTTTATTTATTATTAATCTCAAAAGCACATCAAATTCTCTAAGGAAACAAGACTTACTTTGTATAATTATTACGAAAAAATATCTACCATCAGAAAACAAGAAAAAAGTGTTCTACTTATTTGAATATTTTGGATGTTTAATAACATATTTTATTGATAATAAGTTCTAAAATTATTTCTATTTCAGTTGACGCTAGTACAAAAGATTCCTTAGTAGCTGCTAGTGAAGAAGAAGATCCCAATTTAGTAACTGCTGCTATTTTCTATTCCATTTCCTCTACTCAAAGAGGTTTGCAGGTAATCTTGCATTTCTAATTTATTAAAATATTTTACTTTTCAATAGCGATTCACTCACTATGCTGATTTAATTTTTAAAATAGTAATTCCCAAAATAATTTAATTTAATAAATAAAGTTAAAGTATAATAAAACTGTACTTGGATCATTGTAGATTTTGTATTTTTTAGGAAATAAAAATTAGAGGTAAGTTAATAATTTTTTTTCATTGCCAGAACTGCTGGTTTAAAAATATTTCCAAGTAAATAACTTGAGATTAATTTGCTCTCAAGGATCCCTTACACAATATCAAATTTTATCGATGTATTGACCGCCTGAGGGTATATTGTAACGATTATAATAACAACTGGTATATATTTACGACATTCAATACCATTGGCCATTCAATAATATCGTTAGTTTTAGGGATGATAGTTATTGATAGTTTCAAACTATCAATAAATATGAATAATTCTATTGACTTTTTTTGGAGGGAAGTCCTCCCCTTCCTAGCCTTTAAGGTTACACAGGGTTTTCTCGGGCCAGGAGATGTGGACGGTGATTTAAAAGACTCTCCTGGCACTGGGACACGAACTAGTGACTATTTTATATCAATTGTCTCATATATCAGGTTGCCGGGCATCACTGGTGCTGTGCACACTCGTTAGCCCGTTCGGCCTCCCCGTCCACCAGTTCTATTGACATCGCCCATTTCTAGATGGAGTTTCTAATGAAGATAACTCTTCAAGCCGGGCATAATAATCTAGTAATTTATCGCCCTAAAACCCCTACCATACCTATCTAACTCTTCAAAACATTTAATGTTTGGAACAGCCGATCTCTAAATTGTTGTACTATCAGTTAATCATTACATCATTAAAATTAATTGAGAAAATGGAATAAAAAAAAAAATATTTTTATATATATTGGACCATCCAAAGTTCACCTTAATTTTTAAATGAAAGAAGTAGGCTTATGGAAATTATGTATTATAAAGGTAATATTTTTATTTAAAATACAGAGACTTATGTAGGTAGAATTTGAGATACAATGGCAAAAATAGGAGAGATTACATTTATAGTCTTGGTAATGTTTTTCAATAAAATAATTTGTTAAATTTTCTTTATTTACACAAAACGAAATCTTGAGATTTCAATCTAATACCATAAACCAAACTTCGATTCAAGAGAAATTTAGAAACCTTTATTTTATTGGAGTTAGATTACAATATTAGAGGTAATCTTGGATTATGGAGGTGAGGTTAATAATTTTTAATTAAACCAACATTTTTTGAGTTGAAGATGTAAATAATTCTATTGGTGATATAAATGGAAGGATATCAATTATTTTTCATTTATAATATTTCCACCCTCAACAAAACAATTGAGTTATCCTCAGCCACCCATATCAAAATTACACAATATTAGTAGTATATATTCTTTTCTTTCTAGGGTATCGAGTTGGGTAATTACTTGATAAAGCGTGTAGTTCAGGAAGTTCAGGCAGAATTTCCAAAAATTAACCAGTTGTCCACACTATCCCCAATACCTGGGTTCAAGACATGGCTAATGGAAAAGATAAAGTTATATGAAAAAGGTAAGCCTTCAAACCATCAGCTTAGTAATTATGATATCTAATCATAATCGCTAAACCTATCATAATTATCCACACTTAAAAATATAATACTATTTTAATCCTGTGTATTTCTCTTCAGTATTTTTTTTTAAAAGTAAACTTTTTCATTAAAATTAATGATAATATTTATATATATTGGTCATTGAAACTATAACATTATTTATTTAGGTGTCTCTGAAAAAATGTCACCTTTAACTTTAAATATTTGTGCATTATTAAGAATTAAGAATTCACATCTCATATTGAAAATATATTCTATCATATTTTATAGTAGTAACCTATCTTATGATAATCTGTCTGTATTTTATCCATCCAAAGCAAAAACTTCCTATCACACTGTGAAACTGCTTACTATAATATTAAAGCCACCACTTTGCAATTTTTTATATCAGAGCTGGACCAGTAGTAATGAGCAAGGAGACTGACCAGACAGCCACTTGGTTGCATGCATCTAGGTAGCTGTATGGCTGCTCTCCTTATCTTCTTGGATTCTTAAAATTTCAATTTGAGACATTTAACTATTTTTTGAACAGAAGAAAAAGAGGTTCCGGAAGGCTGGAAAAATCTCTTAAAAGAGTTTGGCAGTTGGCGTGACTTGAAAATAAGTTTATTAAACAACTCCTGGTATCTGGACCACAACTTAGTGACAATGCTAGAACCGCTGCTGATGTCATCATGTGCTTACTACCTCTATAAAGAGAAGAGGAGATCCGGAGCTCTGGATTCTGTTGGTGAGTATTCTATTAAAGTTAGTGCTGTTTAGAATTTGATTTCTTCATGCTTATATAGGCATAAAATATTTTTTACATATGTTTTAATATGATCATTTTGTCGTTTTATTGCAAAAATCATTAAAAAGGAGAGGTTACAGTCAGTGGATGACGATTTCAACCAAATTTTTTTCAGTGATGCTACATCAAACAAATATTGGACACATGTCCCAGTCAGAAAAAAAAAAAAAAATTATGTAATTACAAACTAAATTGGTGTTATTTATTTTTACCTTTGCTTTTCCCAGATTTTTAAGTTATGATATAACAATCTATTTATTTTTTGTGCAGCATACGAAAAGAAATACTGACCATTGTATTAAATGAGTTATAATGTATCATAAATTACAAAAGCCAAAAGACGCTTCCAGTAAAGTAAGCCATGTAAATTTTTGTTATGAAAAAGCAAGTTAAATTGGTTTTTTTAGTGTCCTCTGAAACTTAAATAAGAATTTTTATAGAAATAAAAAATTCCAAAATTTAATTCCTGATAGAAAATCACCACTAAGGAAAAGTGGAATTTTTTTTTTCCCTCGGATAACATTCATAAATTCTTGAAATTTTCCAGATTCAACATTATTACAACTGTTGGAAAGCTAGATTACTGCTCTTCCAACTCACATCAATAACTTTTAGATGTCATTCATTTTTAAACTATAAATTTAGAATAACTCCTCAACAATTTTTTTATTTTAATGTGAATGAGAAGAATGGTTGGGGTGATAAGACAAAAAAAAAAAAAAGAAAAGAAAAGAAAAAGTAAAAATAAATATAAATTTTTTTTTTGACTGATCACCCCAACCATTCTTCTCTTCAACTTACATTTTATAACTTTGGTCCTAATTTGTTTATGGAGGTCAGTTTTGATCCATCTCGCGTAGTATAGAGAGCTTTAAATTCCTAATAATTTTTTGTGTGAATTGGTGGACCTGTTCTAAAGTTATCACAATTTTTTTGTTGTTGATAAAATTATGATGGGTCGAGCCTACCCAATAATTTCAAGCAGAAAATTTTAATTTTTCAAATGCAACAAAAATTAATATTTATGGTTTTTTGAGTTATGAAAAACGAATATCAACTTTGTTTTAACATGAAAACTACCTACTCCAAAATTAGTGTAATTTCCTAGTAACTTTTTTCAGTGTAAACAACTATGATGGCTTAAATAAGAACAATTTACTTGCTTTGCACCGTAGTCTTTTTTCTTTTGAAAATAGCAAATAATAAAGTAAAAGTAGTTGGTATCATGTTTTCTATTATATTGCCTGAACTTGAATATTACAAAATATCGGTTTAAATGCACTGATATTTTTTCAATTTGATTATTGTTTGTAAATATTTTATTCATTCTTTTAATTATAAGTAAAATATTTCTTATTGAACTGTAAACTTCTTTAGACATGTTTTGCACTTTTTTGTGGAGAGTGAATTAGATTGAGCCGTCAAATTTCCGATATGCAACGCTCGGATAAAGTCGGCTGGAGTCGACTAATTTAAGTATTTCTGCATATTGATTAAAATATCTAAAACTGAAAATCGGACCTGCATATTGTTAATGAGAAAAATGTTCATCATTTCATCCTCTTTGTAATGAGCTATTAAAAATTGTATCTTAACATGACGCCATGTTAGGTAGGTGAAAAGGAAAAAAATAGTGTTGAAAACCAAATTATAACAAGTTTGATTGAAGATATGGATTATAATATCTAAGAAACTAAAAAATCGGACCTGCTTATTTAAGGGGGAAATTGTTCAGCATTTCATCCTCTCTGTAATGGCCTATTATTTATAATTTTTATTTCATGTTATTAATCTTGCCTTGTTGATGTTTTCAGTTCTATTGTGTGTAATTTAAGAACAGGCTCACACTTCTGTTTTTTTTTTTATATGTTTGTTTCAAATTCACCAAGCTCAACATTCAGGTATATCTTTAAAATGAAAAAAATGTCCCCTAAAAATTTAATAATTGGTTATTATTAATTATTTATCACAAAACCAACCAGATTCACCTGATTTTTGGCTGCTAAAACCAAAAAATCTGTTTTGTTATTTTAAAAATCACTTCAAATATCCATAATAAATAGGAAATAACAGAAAGCAACAAAACATTTCTTACAGGACTTCCTATAGTTTCAAATCACAAAATAAATTTATTTTCCTAATAAACCTATAAAATTCATGAAAATGGACTTAACTGATTTTGTAACAAAATACCATATATGTATTTTATATATATTTTTTAAATTGGTAAGTGAAGAAATTCTAATCTGTAAAATTGTATTTATTAGCTAATTTTCATCTTAAAAATGGTGCTGTGATGTGGAGGCTGAATTGGATGGCTGATACGTCACCAAGGGGTTTGTCTAATTCTTGTGGAATGATGGTAAACTACAGGTGAGCAAATTTATCTGTTGATCTTTTAAATAAATATATATAGTTATAATTTACTCTATTAAAAAAGTTTTTCTTTATTTTTTCAGTAAAATATTTTATCATTTTTTTTTTTAATTGTAATGTTCGAGTATTGTTCAATATCTTTCCACTGTATTAGTTTTGTACCCATTTTATCTTGTGACATAACACATTTTTAGATTTTATACAAGTATTTAATTTACATGTAAAATTAATTAGTTTTGGGTCATGTTGTATTGAAGTTAGAAATCTATGTCCGATTAGAAATCACAATTTAATGTATATAACAGAATAAATTCTATTGTTTTTACATAATAAATTTTATACAGATTTAATCAATCTCTGTTTACTTTTGTTTTTAAAGGTATATTCTTGAGGATACCGAAAGAAATTCACAATCCTACTTAGAACATCATAAAATCAATGCTTCAGATGAAGTCAAACATCTTGCTGGAGAAAGGATTCCTTCAAAAATGTAAAATAGAATATAGCAAAGCTGATATTTTAATTTCCTATTTCAACAATGAAAATGCTTATTGTTATTGAATCCTCTACTATCAGTATTTTATATGTAATATATAAATAGGCTCTTAGTCTATTTTTTATTTATTTGTTGAATAAATTGTTTTGTTTTACGAGGTTAATGTTGAAAAATTAAACTTTTTTTAATGTATTTTTCTTAATCATCCAATTATCCCTACCTCTAACATCTTCTATAATTTCATCAGGTAATAAATTTAAATTTTCTTTGAAGATAATGAACATTATTTGGGGGAAAATCCTTTAAAATACTGCATTTTATTCATTTCAATATTTTTAGTGCTATAAAAATTGAACAATAAAGGACAATTGTTTTGAGATTAAAAAACCCAAGACAATTTTTCTTTTGATGACATTATATGATTTTCCATCAATAACTTTTTAATATCTATTTGAAGTGTTTATTTTATTATTACAATATCAAAACAATATTATTGAAGGTTTCGCAAGCTATGTGGTAAACTATAAACACTTTATTAAATTACCAAAGGATAAAACAAAATTGTGTCTTAATCTGACAAGGATCAGTTCTTGAATAGCAGCTTGATCACCTGTTAAAATATAATATCGAAAAGATAAGCTTTAATGTATACTCAACCTTTTATTTGTATTTAACAAAAATAGAAAGATTGAACATTCTCTTAATGAATATGAAGTTATGACCTTCTCGGTACTGCAAGTTAAATTATTGTTCGAACATAGGTTAAAGAGACCACTATCTAAATGCAAGGTTTTGAACTGGGTCAGTTTAGTTTCAGATTATAAGAAAATACAATCCATTGCCTAACACTTCTCCATTCCAACTTCCAAAACAACATATTGACTTTAACTTCAGTTAAAAATCAATTATGAAATTCATTCATGCATTTCCTCACAAAATGTTTTATCTAATAGTAAAAAAAAGAGGCTTAGAGAACACATAGATTAAATGACAATGCCACCAATTAATGATATTAATGGATTGCCCCACCTTGCGCTCCTCCGCTGACTGGTATACTCTAGTCTGAAACGCAGGAATTGTTAATAATGAACTTCAAAACATCAGCTTGCTATGGATGATAATGAAATAAAACTTAATATCATAATTTCATCATGTCCTGTTAAATATAGCACTTTTTCATCATGGTTGGACAATAAAACTGACATACGTACTTAACTAACACGTTTATTACTTATGGTCAGTAAACATACCTTTTTTTTGTTTTCTTAGATAATTGCATAGACATACTAACTCAATGTAGAGGTACAAGGTACTACTACTACTTTCATTATATCATAGACATATGAATGCACATACTCTCAGATGCTAACAGTTCAATTACTCTTATATCCTAAGTTTATTGTTTTTTTAACGATAAAAACTTCAAGCAATGATGTGTAAATAATTTTTGCACTAAAAGCAGAGTTTCTAAAATTCATGATATTACTACATATTTATACTTTTGTAGTCTACAACTGCTATAAGTAGTATGCTAAATAGGAAAATAGCAGAAGAAATAAAATATGAAATTATACTAATAAATCATAAAGGCAAATTTTTACATAAGACATTTTGCACTAGACAGTAGCGATGTGTCATTTTCAATGATAAAGCTCTTTAAAACTCTAGAATAGTTTGTGTATAAAACTTATCCATATAAAGATAGACTTTTTAAAATACATTTTTATCAATGATGCTGTTCTCATATATTACTAAACAATAAAAGCATTAATATTTTATTTTGTGTTTCTATTATGGGATAGTTAATTAAGTTTATCGAATACCTATACAAGTTAATTTTTATTTTCCACCAGATGATCCTCATGTTTCAATTCTATTCTATGTTTAAGGTCTTGAAGCTTTTCCTTATTCCAGTTAATGCATTGACCTAGAAACATTAAAATTAACAGTTGATAGAGACAAGACTAGAATAAATAGCAAAGATATGATTAAACTGTCAGTAATTTATTACCTATTATTAACTCTTTACATTATTCATTATGAATCTCAAAGTGCGATGAGACATTTCACAAACTGTAGGAAACACAATTATTTAACTTAACTAACAGAGATATTAGTGCTAAACCAAATTATATGTTTTTTTCTCTTGATACCGACAGCAAATGAAAAAGTATCAAAAAAATACTAGCATAGTTAAATAAACATTTATACATTTGTTTGTTCCATAGTTTGTGAAATATCTAAATGCGCCTTAAGGGTAAATGTTGGTCCGATAGGTACTCAAATCTTGAAACAAAAATGTAAGTATGTTTTTACAAAGGTAACAGTCAAATTTTGTCTCAAAACTAACACTACTGCCCAGAAGTGAAATTTCTTATCTTTAAACATGTTTTTCTTTTTTTATTCACGACGGGAGCTGCCACTCTTTCGAACTAACATTTACTTCAAGATTATTTAGATTTATTTTCGAAATTATGAGACTGTCATGTCATAAATGTTTTACATAATAAAATTTAAACCTCACCATATATACGCGGGTCCGCTATTTATTCTAGTAGATGGCGGTTTAATTCCCACCAACTTTGATTTGCCGCCTAAAATTTCAATTGATTGATCACCTGTAATATAAAGGTTTTAACAATATAATTATAAAAAAATACAAATTCAATAAAATAAGTATATCAGTTACTAAATTCTTTTTTATCCATCCATTTTTCATCGATAATCTTACCGATTTAATTATTGTGTTATTCATGAATAAAACATCATTCGATCACTATGGCTCCAGCTTTTGAACTAGCCATAAAGTGAACATCAGGATGGAGTTCGGAAAGAAAACTAAATCATCAGTGGTCCAGACAGAGGTATATATATACATAATTCATCTTATAGCCTATGTATTGATTAATAATATAAAGAGTGAATAACTCCTCTTCAAGATATTTAAGAAAGTACCTCGTAACTTCACTGCTTAAAAAAAGTTTTTGTTTAAAATTGCTGATAATATATTATATTATTTTTATTAACCAAAAAGGGTAGTAGAGGCAAATGTTTATCAATATGATAGCACGTTCATGCTGGTTCACCAACCCCATAGCAGAAAGAGATACAACTTTAACCAGAATACCAAAAAAGTGTTCATACATTTATAATATCTTAATTCTATTTCTATTCAAAGCCATTATTTCGCTTAAATTTATTATTACTGTACCCGATGACAGGTGTCATGTCTGGAGATAAGACAAAGAAGCACTTATTTCAAAGAATTTGTGACCGACATTCAAGCCTGGAGGTGGAAGTGTAATATTATGGGGCATATGAGTGTTTTACTAGTTGGCAATCTCGTGTTTATTAATAGAATTATGGACAGTCCTAAACAATCGGGCAGAAGCTCCCCTCTCCCAAAATGATAAAATGTGAGCATGTTTTATGAAAAATGTTTGTTTTAAAATGATCTCTTAAAATATTATTGTTTGTGTAATTTCATTTAATAGGACTCAAACATAATCACATTTAAACAATTAAGAATCACTTAAACACCATTTCATGAAGGTAGTTAGTATCTTTCTCTTTTTTCCAAAGAATTATCGTGATATACATGAGAAAAAAAGCTTTCGGACCGAAGCCCCCCAAAATTAAATCCTGGGTCCGCTAGTGACCTCTACTATCCTTCCTGATTATTTAAAATAATATAATAAATAGATTTTTAGCAATGTTAGTAAAGAATAACTAACTGTATGGGAACGTTGAGGCAGTGTATGAGTTCTCTTCAAAATGCCTAAGTCCATAAAAATGTCTCCCAGTCAAAAGCTTGCGCCATGCAATCTCTCTCTGGGCACTTATTCCTTCACACTTTAACAGTAATTTACGAGTCCAATATTGCATTTTAAACGGAAAACTCAGTTTATTATAAGAAGATATGATTAATTAATTAACTTTCAATTACATTAAAAAAATTTCAGTTTTAATACGTTTTGTCCATTTCGCTTCGTTCTATATCATTGAAACTGTACTATTTGAATATTTTTGTAGAGTAAAAAAAACTTAGGGTTTAATAAATAAACATAAAATGTACTATAAGTTAGAATTATAAGAGTTAGCAATCTTGATTAATATGTTAGGACCTTCAATTAGATAGTAAGCATTGGTTGGACTAATTGAGGCGCCAACTCTATTTCAAATGGAGAGCCCAGTTCTTGTCCTATGCGAGATTAACATTTATTTCTTAGCAGGCTCACGATATGATTCTCGACCGTCTCACTATCGTGAGATTATATATCGTGATATTATGTATCATGATTTTAGATTTAAAAGGTTTGATTAATCCGTAAGTTGACCCGTCTATCCTACAGGTGTTGGTGGTTGGTGTACGTAAAGGCGCTAAACCGAAACAACAGAACCTCATCTTGTTATTTATTGATCGATTGCGTTTAAGGATATCGTCGATGAAGGATGTTGGGCAAGAATAAACTATCATAGTGCACTTTCTAATTAATATTTCATAACATCCTCTTTCCCTCACCATCAATCAATGTTTCGTTCCAGAGATTCCACAGTGCCGGAACATTTGAGGGTGTTGGCGAATCCGGGAGAAGAATGTTACCTTTCACCAGGTACCTGGAGCCGAAGAACATAGTTTAGATAATTTTATGCTAATAGATGATGTATTATTCAGCTAGACTCTATTATTATAGGTTCGTTTCGTAAAATTGCACTTAATCCAAGTAGATTTATAGGGAGCGTATAGTCTGTAAATTATGTTTTTATAAAATAAGCTCGGTTTTTTTCTTAAAAAAAATCGGTCAAATAAAAAAAATGTAAATATATATTTACAGAATTAATATCCTTAAACATTTCAATATCGAATCGTTTTCAGCACGCTGTTGTTGGATGTTTAAAATTTCTTCATATTCTTTTAAAGATATAATTATTTATTTCCTTTAGAAAATTATGAAATTAGTACTGCTTACCGAAACTGGTCAATCAATAGTTAGTTTCGCCATCAATTCATCAATAACAATCCATGAGAAAACCTCTATACGATAATGAATGCTTCGATAGTTAACAAGGGACCATGTGGGGAACTAAAAACCAGATGGATAAATGGAATCAATTAGCTCAAGAAAGGCAAATATGGAGAAGGCTGGTAGAGGCGACAAAATATCTACAAGTTCTGTAAAGCAAAAAAAAAAAAAAAAAAATTGCTCATCGGAAACAATTTCAAAAACTTGGATACCTTCCATTTATCATCAAACCTAATCGTTTTGCTGAAGGTCCCAAAACTACATATTATTCAAGAATGGGGTAACTGGAACTGCCATTGTTTTTTAATATTGACTTGTGTCAAAGGTGATACATTTGACCTGGTATTATTGATAATTATATTTTAATCATTATTCTTGTCGACTAACGTTTTGGTTAATTGCATTTTGTTTGCTCCATTTAGGATATTAAGTATTTGTAATCCAACCTCTTTTAATCAAGTTTCGTCCGATTAATTAGGCTAATGCATGGACTACCTACACGGAGCCACATATTAGATTAAAGTCAAAGGTCAGCGTTTGAAGTTTTTGAAAATTGGATTAGAAAAAATTGAGTCGAACCAATAATTGCATTTGTTATTGTTTATAAGGGGGTGACATTAATTTAGGGCCATATAATATATACCATATGGCACAAACCAGGTGCTCGCAAATAAATTAGGCTTGGAGACAAAAAATAAAAACGTTTGGGGATTTCTACTTTATTTATTCCTTATAAAGGCGTAAAAACTAAAACTTAATTATATGGTTTAGAAAAGCAATAGTTTAGCTCTTCAACGGTTGAAGTAACGTTACCTTAGAAGAAAATACTGAGGAGTTATGAATATAATATTGGTGAACGGCATGAGAAACTATTTTTAATTTTATATATATATATATATATATATATATATATATATATATATATATATCAATTAAATTATATTGGAATTTCGAATACAAAATTTTATCTCAAGATGCTACTCTTGAATATCTTATATCTTATGCTTAATTATTTCTAATGAATCACCCATATTAAATGTCTAAAGGATTTCGTAAGAAAAAATAAGACCTCTAAGGGTTATGTAACGAAAATTCTGCATTGGAATGGAGATTATTCTTGTCAGAGAAAAAACAAAGTTCAGTGAAACGGTGAAGTTTGTTCGTTCGGGACAGCGATTTGTTTTCCAGGAAGAAGAAATCTGAGACTCTGTTATCGACATCCCATTTTTCAAGTTAAATTGATGACGTAAAATATATTGAACTAACCCCTGTAATAGCAAGGTTTTGACAAATAATCCTACTTAATTTTGTCTGTCTACAATGACCACAGATAATAATGGTTTTGAAGAACAAAATAGAAAGTCCAGAGGAAACTTTTCGCTCTTAAACTCAAGTCATTAATTAATAAATTATATTAATTTATAGTATAATTTTTTAACCCTATAAATCCATTCGAATGGGACGTGGTGGTTATCAAACATTTTAAAAAACGGTACGAAATAATTTTTAAAAAATAAATAATAAATCGGTGTATCCCAACAATTACTTTTAATTATTATTTTCTTAGATAAATGAAATAATAAACCAGTAAATAAAATAAGAACAAAAAAACAAAAAACAACAACATCGAATTGTAATAAAAAAACAATATTAATTCTTTTATTAAAGTTTTAATTGTTAATTTTATCATAATACATGTATGTGCTGTGCCGACTGGCAAGCGTCCGAGGGTTAGCCCCTTATTCCGAAGCTAGGATGGGAAGATTGCGTTAAGGCTGATCTGGCGATGTTGCGTTTGGACAAATCCCAGTGGATGGAAGAAAGTAGACATGGTATAGGCATCTAATATTCGGATTTTCTAAGA